CAATAAAATAAAATTATTTCCAGTAAAAAGCTAAAAAACAAAAAAAGTAGTGGTATCTAGTCTTTGGATCTAGCTGCCAGTTTGCAGGAAACACAGAGGATATGAGAATGTGTTAAACTGTACCATGAATATATAATCACTAAAATTCAAACTATAGGAAATGCCAGAGGTCAAATGGTGTGGATTCTTAAACAGATAAGAAAAGGATGGGATGGGGGCGACTGGGTGGCTTAGTCGGTTAAGCGTCCGACTTTAGCTTAGGTCATGATCTCGCAGTTCGTAGGTTCGAGCCCCGCGTCGGGCTCTGTGCTGACAGCCAGCTCAGAGCCTGGAGCCTGTTTCAGTCTGTGAATCCCTCTCTCTCTGACCCTCCCCTGCTCACGCTGTCTCTCTCTCTCTCTCCTAGAAATAAATAAAAATATTAAAAAAAAAAAAGAAAGAAAAGAAAAGGATGGGATGGATGGGGACCTTAAAGCTTAAGGGAGACTTAAAACGCATATAAAAACGTTTAAGGGCAAGACTAATCTAAGTGACTAGGGACACTCATTTGAGCAATAAAACAAAAAGGATATAAAAATGTCATAACTATAGGGGCGCCTGGATGGCTCAGATGGTTAAGCATCCAACTCTTGATTTCACCTCAGGTCATGATCTCATGGTTCATGAGTTCAAGCCCCATGCTGGGCTCGAAACAGTGCAGATTCTCTATTTCCCTCTATCTTTGCCCCTCCCTGACTCGCACGGTTTTGGTCTCTTTCAAAATAAATAAAATTTAAAAAAAGATGTCATGACTATAAAAGTCAATATAATGGTTATTTAATGAAGGGGTTGAGGGGGCAGTGTCCGAGATGGGGCATACAAAAGGGCTTCTGAAGTAAGTGGCAAAGTTCTCCCTCTTGATTTGGATGATGGTTACAAATGTGTTTTGCTTAGGGGCAAATGTGTTTTGCTTAGGATGTGTTTTGCTGGGTGGCTCGGTTGAGTGTTTGACTTCAGCTCAGGTCATGATCTCACCACTTGTGGGTTCGAGCCCAGCATTGAGCTCTGTGCTGACAGCTTAGAACCTGGAGCCTGCTTCAGATTCTGTGTCTCCCTCTCTCTGTGCCTCCGATGCTCATGCTCTGTCTCTGTTTCTCAATAATAAATAAATGTTAAAAAAAAATTTTTAATAAAAAAAAATGTGTTTTGCTTATAATAATTCACTGTGCCATACATTGTTGTGTGTGGCTTACTAATTCCCCATTTTGTTTAACAATTAAAGTTTTGGTTTTTTTAAAGCAGTGCTAACAGAAGTGTTCTTCCTGACCCTGACTCTCAGAGCTGCATTGGAGGTGGGTTTCTATATAAGCACTTACAGCTTGGACTCTACCCTAAACTCAAGAAGCTAAGCCCACACTGACTCCTAATCATTAGAGCAAAGGCTAAGGAAAGACCAATATATGATTTAAAAAAAAGTTACAAAATTATTTCTGACAAATTCCTATGCAAGATGATATAGAATAAACTCTGGTGGAACAGCAATGTCTACAGATTCCCAGCTATTCACATGAAACATTATGTTTGTGACTTAATCTCTCTGTGCTTTCCTGCTTCCATTTTCTCATCTATAAAATGGGGTCTTTACATATAGGGCCATTTACATCTCAGGGCCACTGTGGTGATTAAATTAGTTCTTAAACATATCTAAAATGCTTAGAACAACGCCTGTCATTATAGAAAGCATGATGTCAGTGTTAGTTATTATTTTTATTGGACTGAGAAGCATATGCTTGCATTTTATCAAGCAAGAAATTTATATAAATTTTAGTTGGACTACCAAATAAACTGATGGGTCTGTAGAAGTGAATGACGTAGTAAAGTAGTCTTTCCTATTATAATGGATATCCATTATTTTCGCCTGCCCAGCATCAAGTTGCCCCTCTTCTAGTAATGACACTCTGGTTTTCCTATAGTATGCCCCCTCTTCCATAGTTTGGGAGGTTGTCTCCTCTCCAAAGACATATATATATATATGTATTTTTATTTATATATATATAATTTTTAAGGTTTTATTAAGTAAGCTCTATACCCAAAATGGAGCACAAACCCACAATCCCAAGATCCAGAGTCACATGCTACACCAACTGAGCCAGCCAGGTATATATGGATACGTGACTTAGGCTGACCACAGTAATTGGCTTAAGAATTGGCATATTACCCAAATAAGTTCCATGTGACTCAGTTCCAAGGCTTTCATTATATCTGTTGAAGAACAGTCACCTTCCTTCCACTGGACCTAACACTGTGAGGATATAAAACATCAGAGGCCATTAGGGGCCAATCTTGCCAATACCCAAGAAGAGCCCTCCTGAATGCAGTCAAGGCCAAGAAGGGGAAAGAATTAGTCCTGATGACATCACTGAGTCTCTGGATTAGCTAGGTTTGAGGTCAGGATCTGCCTTGAATTGTTCTGTTATGTAGGCCAGTAAGTTCATTTCTCATTATAACCTGAGCAGTCTGAGTTGGGATTCTGTCATCTGCACATGAAAAAATTGATGACATGCCAAGTTAAAACCCTTCAGATACTTGAAGACAAGGATCATCTCCTTCAAGTTTACAAACTTCTCATTTATTCCCACTAAAAATCACTCTATGATTATAGCCAATCAAAATCTATTTGGATTCACAGCCCTTCACCCAAACAACTGGTCACTCAAAAAACTTACATGGACCTAATGAATGAATGAATGTCATGTGAAACTAGAAGGGATCCTACTTCAATATTTTTAAATGTCTGCCTTTTAGAGTTAAATACAATCAGTTGCGTTTTAAAATATCCCATCTTAACATATACCCTCGAGACAAATGATACAGATGTACCATCCCTACTTAAAAAAGGACAAATAGTTATCCTGACCCCATCAGATTCAGATAGGTGATTTGCAAATCTCTCTCTAGCTCTGACACCGGCCCCAAGCTCCAGACCTAAACCTCTAAATATCATACTATCAACCTGTACATACACAAACACTTATTGCTGTCCTTTCTAATTCACCTATTTCAGACAATATCACAACTGTTCTCCCAATTATTTAGATTCAAAATCTTAGAATTAGCTGTTTTGGCTTTCATTATTGTGCTAAGACCTTAAACATGGATTATCTCATTTAATGGGGTACGTGTTATAACTTCCTGTTTTACAGATGAGAAAATGATGTTGGAGATCATATGCAGCAGAGGCAAAAAAAAAAAAAAAAAAAAAAAGACTCAAACTACTATATCTCCTCATCTTTGGATCCTTCACCCTGCCCTTCCTATAGTAACCAGATCCTATGTTTTCTTTTCTTCAATATTTATTTAACAGTAACGATGCAACTACTCCATGCCAGGCACAAAGGATTCAGGAATGAATAAAACAGTTCTGGCCTTAAAGGAACTCACAGTACAATGGAGAAACCAGATATAAGCAAATGATTATAATAAAAAGCGAGAAGTGCTCTTAATAAAGGTATGTATAAAGTGATAAGAGAACAAAGGAAGGAGGGCCTAATACTGCCTTGGGGCTTCTGGTAACCTGAAGAAAGCAGGAACCAAGTGACTTCAACCCAAACAATTAAGTTTGTTCAACAAAAATATATGCAAATATTATATGCAAGGATTATCAAGTGTAAGCTCTCATCATCACACATAAGAATTATTACTATCTTTATTACCATTTGTCAACTGGGAAACATGGGCAAATTACTTCTCTAAATTTTGGTTTCTTCATCTGTAAAGTGAGGGAAGTAACACCATCTAAAACACAGAATAACTAGGGGATAAGAGAGGCCTACCATAATCTTTCATATATAGTAAGCTTTTTAGAAACTTAAGCTTGAATTATACATAAAACAACCATTCATTATGCCATTCCCCATTCCAGAGTGTCTATGGGATAACATCAAAACTTTAAATGAACATTTAAAGTTCAAGGACACAAAAAGAACTTCTGGGGTGTTGTTACACCTGTAATGTTTTGTTTCTTGATCTGGGTGCTGGCTACGGATGCTGGCTACATGAGTAGACAGTCTGTAAAAATTCACTGAGCTCAACACTTAATATATGTGCATTGTATGTACACCGTACTTCAGTAAAAAAGTCTTTTTTAAGTCTTTAAATTCTGGCCCTAACCTAACCCCTACCCCATTTCTCCTCCACTTCATACACTTGCACCCTTCAACATTTTCTTGATCCTGTTTACCTTCCACTACCATGAGTTCTTTCTCTAATCTCCCTTTCCAAATTCTACATCCTTCAACAGCTCACAGCCCACATCCTAAGGAAACTGGAAAAGGAGAGGACACTTTCTTCAGGGTTGAAACTCCAAGAAAGGAATTGGATGTACAGAGGAAGAACATTTTTCAAAAAGGATTCTATCTGTCCCTCCCCCTAGCCTGTGGATCCTACAACACAAATTCTGTCTCATTGTAGGCACTGGTATAAAATAGTGCTTGCTGGATGAAGAACTTAAGAAACAGTAGGAAATGCTATACTACAGGTCCCGGACCGAAAACTGGCGTCTAAGCACAGTCACACACTTTACTCGCTTAGGCAAGATAGGTGGCCTCACTCGGGGAACCCCTCACATACCATCCCATGTCCCAGGTAACACCACCTACGACCCCTCACCAAAACCCAATCCCCTCTGCAAATCCCACTCCACCCAGCACGCCCTTTTCTCAATACCTATCTTTCCTCAGACCACGCCCCTCTCCTCAGGTCCTGAGGGGGACACACCCCCTCAGCTCCCTACACCTCAGGTGAGTCAGCCCTTAGGGTCCAAACCTCTCCCCACAGTCCCTAGCCCCCTCCCCTCGGCAGCCCCGCCCTCAGGCTCCGCCCTCCCACCCTCCCCGAGGGCTCCAGAGCGGGTTAGTTCCCCTCAGAATCTTGTGCTTGAGGCCACTGCCCCCGCCTCCCATTCACTGAGGCCAGGAGAGCACAGGCGGGGCCTGGCCACCTACTCCAGCCAGTGGCCTCACCTCTCTTCCAAGAGCTCAGTGGAGACACCACCTCCACCCGTTCGGAAATGAATTCGGCCAGACTGGAGCGGAACAAGGCCGCCCGCACGGTCACGGCCACTACCAGCACCAAAGCCAAGGGAGCCGCCATGATAGCTGGGGCGGGCGCGCAGGCGGGGAGGGAAACGCGAGGCGGAAAAGCCTCGCGACCTGTGCGCCACCCTCTGTAGTTCCGCGGTCAAGCGCGCATTGCTGCTGACGCCGGAGCCCCCAGACTAGGGACTACCACTCCCAGGAAGCCTTGCGGCGAGACAGGGGCGGGACTACGTAGAGCGGGGCTTCTCAAGCTCGTAGCAAAGGGTTGGGCGACGTCTCCTAAGATTGCAGGTACCTTGTAAAAGCGCGCGGTGCTTCAAAGTAGGCAAGTGAAGTAGTATCTTCCGAGAATAATGAGCAAGTTTTGGGGCGCCTGGGTGGCTTAGTCGGGTAAGCGTCCGACTTTCGCTTAGGTCATGATCTCGCGGTTCATGGGTTCGAGCCCCGCGTCGGGCTCTGTGCTGACTGCCAGCTCAGAGCCTGGAGCCTGTTTCAGTCTGTGACTCCCTCTCAGAGCCTGGAGCCTGTTTCAGTCTGTGACTCCCTCTCTCTGACCGTCCCCTGCTCACGCTGTCTCTCTCTCTCTCCTAGAAATAAATAAAACATTAAAAAAAAAAAAAAAGAATAGTGAGCAAGTTTTGAAGAGTTGTTAATTTCACTTTTCTGTGTAAGTTTTAAGTGTTAGGATGCTTCCCTTTAAAGATTTTAAAACAATATTAACTATGTTCTCATTTGTGTGTTCTACAATTGTTTATTGAACACCAACTATATGCCAGGCATTGTATTGGGTTCCGAGAATACGTTTTGGAGTAGTAGCCAGACTTGTTTTCTCTGCGGCCTTGAACAAATTGCTTAATCTTTCTGTCCATCAGGCCCCTCATCTGGAAAATAACGCTGCTTGTTAGCCCGCTGGTCCTTATGGGCTTGCCAGAAACGATTGAAGAATGCTTAGATATTTTGCTCGTCGCTTTTAAAGACAGGCATTACCAAAAATTAAAATTATGTAAACTTACAATTAAGTAATTTATATTAAAACAAGGTAATAAATACCCCAAACTTGTAACTTCCTAATTATTTTACTACATTTTTGTTTCATCTGTGCTCTTGAGGTTATTTATCACTACTATATCACTATGGCAAGTATTGTATAATGGTATGCTATTGCCCATCAATTCCTAGACTGCTGTTCAGTGGCATCAGAATGGTAGCTTGAAATCCCTCCCACTGAGAGTATTTACACAAGGAAGTCAGCAAGCTCTACAAAGCAGAGTTTTGGACTTTGGAGAGCTCATAGATAATCATTAAGTAGCACAGTACTTCACTAATTAATGTATGAAAAGTGCTAATTCGAATGCTTAAATGTTAGCTACAATAATTAATATTAAATATGTAAGGAAATTTCAGGTCTGTGGATAAGATGAAACAGCTGGTATAATCAAGAATAACTTGGTGGAAGTGTGGTGGTAGGACTGGACAGGGCAGTCAGGGAAGTCTCTGGGAAGAGGTGACATTTGAGCTGACACATAAAGGATGAGAAACTAATCAGAGCTGACAAGTGGAGGAAACAGACTCTGAATCAGGAAGAGCAAAATGTGTTTGAGAAAGAAAACAAGTATGTTTGGAGTGGAGAGAGTAGTAGAAGGTGTGGGTAGAGAGTAGATAGTGACCAATCAGGTACGGACTTGTTTGCCATGGTTGGGAATTTGGGAATTTATTCAAAGGGTAATCCATGTGCCATTGGAGGATTTTAGACCAGAAAGTGATGTAGTCAGGTGTGTGTGTGTATGTGTGTGTGTGTGTGTGTGTGCGCGCGCGTGCATATATATATCTTAAATGTTTATTTCGAGGCGGCAGGAGAGAGAGAGAGATCGGGGGAAGGGCTGAGACAGAAAGAGAATCTCAAGCAGTCTTCACACTGACAGCATGGAGCCCAATGCAGAGCTCCAGCTCACAAACCATGAGATCATGGTCTGAGCTGAAATCAAGAGTCAGTCTCTTAACTGACTGAGCCACCCAGGTGCCTCAGTCAAGTATGTATTTTTGAAAGATCACTATATTCCCAGGCTTTATACAGGGTGTTGGGGGAATATTGCAGTGACAAAATTGCACCTCCTGCCTTTTAGGAACATGGAGAGTCGTTGAAGAGATGTAATAGTCTTAAGAGTAACACAAAAGTAAAATCACAAATCATAATGAGAGAAGGAAAAGGGGGAGCAGGATGCTAGAATACAAAAATCAGCCCTGGAGCTGATAGCTTTCTTGACCAATGGGAAGAGTAAGTCTTCAGTGGGAGAGGCAATTAGAAAGGAATAGAAGGAGGCAGTCTCATCCTTTGAGCCCTGTTCTGTCAAGCACTGTGCCATACTTTTAACACAAATGAATCTATTTAGTCTACGTAACCTTCCTTCCTAAAGATACAAGTGTTGGTATACTCTTTGACATAAAAGGAGGGGATATACATATTACAGCATTATAGAGTGAAGTGTATTACATCATGAAAAGTGAAGTGATTATAACACAAACCTCATGAAAATTGAACAAGATTATGTAATGTAGAATGGTTAGTACATGCCATGTGCTTGATATATATTAGCCAGCTATTTTATTATGGTTTACATCATCGTACAGATGACTTAAAAGTTCTTAGGGTGAAGATTGTCTTTGGGAAAAATCATTTTTTAAATTTATTTTTCTTAAATAGTTTACTGTCAAGTTGGTTTACATATAACACCCAGTGCTTATCCCAACAAGTTCCCTCCCCCATGCCCATCACCCCCCTTCCCCTCACCCCCATCCCCATCAGCCCTCAGTTTGTTCTCAGCATTCAAGAGTCTCTCATGGTTTGCTGGGAAAAACCATTTTAGGTAAACCCAAACTAGTGGTTCTTAAACATGAGTTTGCATGGGTCATAAACCTAAATATTAGAATTAAATCTGTAAGACATCTAGAAGAAAATATAGGAGTAAATCTTCATGACCTTGATTTAGGCAATGGTTTTTTAGATACCAAAAGCACAGGCAACAAAAGAAGAAATAAATAAATTGGATTTCATAAAATTAAAAACTTGTGCTCCAGAGGGAACTATCAAGAAATAAAAAGACAACTCACAGAATGGAAGAAAATATCTGCAAGTCATATATCTGATTAGGGACTTTTATTCAGAATATATGAATAACTCTTTTTTTTTTTACATGCTATTTTTATTTATATATATATATTTTTTCCAAATAGTTTATTGTCAAATTAGTTTCCACATAACACCCAGTGCTCATCCCCACAAGTGCCCTCCTCCATGCCCATCCCCCCTCCCCCCTACATCCATCGGTTCTCAGTTTTTGTCAGCATTCAAGAGTCTCTCATGGTTTGNTTCCCCCACCATTTCTCCCCTTCTTCTCCCCCTTGGTCCTCCGTTAAGTTCCTCCTAATCCTCCTATACGTGCAAACATATGGTATTTGTCCTTCTCTGCCTGACTTATTTCACTCAGCATAACACCCTCAAGGTCCATCCATGTTGCTACACATGGCCAGATTTATGAATAACTCTTATAACTCACTAATGGAAGATAAATGGCCCAATTAAAAATGGGCAAAGGATGGGGGGCCTGGCTGCCTCAGCTGGTAGAACACGCGACTCTTGATTTTGGGATTGTAAATTTGAGCCCCAGGTTGGGTAAAGAGATTATTCAAAGTTAAAAGAGACACAAATGGCCAATAAGCATGTAAAAAGATGCTCGACAACATCAGTTACTAGGGAAATACATACAAGTCAAAGCCACAATGAAATATTACTTCCCACCCATAAGGGTGGCTATAATAAAAGGCAGATGATAACAAGCATTGGCAAGGAAGTGGAGAAATCAGAACCCTCATATATTGCTGGTGGGAATGTAAAATGCTGCAGACTCTTTGGAAAAACAGTTTGGCAGTTCCTCAAAATGTTAAACATAGAATTACCATATGAACCAAAAATTAAACTACTCGCTAATATCCAAGAGAAATGAAACATATATCCATACAAAAATTTGTACGTGAATGTTCACGGCTTTTTCATAGTTATTATTCATAATACCCAAAAAGTGGAAACAAGGCAAATATCCATTTTGTTTCTTATGAATGGATAAACAAAATCTGGTATGTCTATCCAATGGGCTATCGGGTAAAAAAAAAAAAAAAAAAAAAGCATTAATACATGCTACATAGATGAACATAGATGAACCTTGAAAACATACTAAGTAAAATAAGCCAAACACAAAAGACCACATAGTGTATATAATTCCATTTATTTGAAATGTCCATAATAGGCAAACCTGCAGAGACAGAAAGCAGATTAGTGGTCGTCCAAGGGCAAGGTAGTTGGCAGGGTTAGAGAATAGGAAATGGCTGCTAAAAAGTACAGGATTTATTTTTGGAATGATAAAAATGTTCTAAAATCAGACTGTGGTGATGATTGTACAACTCTGTGAATATACCAAAACAACCAAGCTGTATACTCCAAATGGGTGAATTTTAGGGGAGCCTGGATGGCTTGGTCAATTAAGCACCCAACTTTAGCTTAAGCCAGGATTTCACAGTTCATGAGTTCGAGCCCCGCATCCAGCTGTGCTGACAGCTCAGACCCTGGAGCCTGCTTCACATTCTGTGTCTCCCTCTCTCTCTGCCCCTCCCCTGCTCACGCTCTGTCTCTCTCTCAAAAATAAATGAACATTAAAAAATGTTAATGGGTGAATTTTATTGTATCTATGTTATGTCTCAATATCTTTTACAAAATGAGCAATCACAGGCAGAGAAGGACAAATACCATATGTTTGCACGTATAGGAGGATTAGGAGGAAGCTAACAGAGGATGATGCGGGAGAAGAAGGGGGAAAATAGTTGGGGAGAGGGAGGAAGGCAAACCTTGAGAGACTCTTGAATGGTGAGAACAAACTGAGGGCTGAGGGGAGTGGGGGAGAGGGGAAGGGGAGTAATGGGCATGGAGGGGGCACTTGTTGGGATGAGCACTGGGTGTTATATGTAAACCAATTTGACAATAAATTAAGGAAGAAAAAAAAGAATCATTTGGGAGATATATTTTTCTTTTTTGTTAGTTT